CCAGCTGCGGGCGGTGGGCCGGGGCGGCCAGGCCGGGCCGGCTCCTACCTGCGAGCCGCAGCCCTTTGTCCCGCCGGAGAGGGAGGGAGGGAGGGAAGGAGGGAGGGAGGCAGAGCGGCCGCCTCCTTCTGCTTTTCCCTCCTCCTTTTCCTCCTCCTTCGCGTTCTCCTTCCGCGGCCGAGCCGCGCCGGGTCCGCTCGGGTCGGGACGGGCCGGGCCGGCAGCGCCGCCGCAGCGCCCCGGCGCGGCCACGGCCGGCCCCGCTCCCCTCCCGCTCCCTTCCCTGCCCTGCCCTTCCCTTCCCTTCCCCTCCCCGCCCGGCCCCGCGGGAGGGGGAACCGCTGCCCCGGGGCTGTTACCGGGCGCTGCTCCCCCCACCCCCTCCCGCGGCCCCGGTGCCGCCGCCACGTCCGGAGCCCGTGGAGCGGTGACAGGATGGTTTGAGTTGGAAGGGATCGTATAAAGATCATCCACCTCCAACGCCCCTGCCATGGGCAGGGACACTTTCCACCATTCCCAGGTGGCTCCAAGCCCCGTCCAACTTGGCCTTGGACACTTCCAGGCATCCGGGGGCAGCCACAGCTTCTCTGGGCAACCTGTGCCAGGGCCTCACCACCCTCACAGTGAAGAATTCCTTCCTAATATCCGTCCTAAATCTCCCCTTTTGCAGCTTAAAGCCATTCCCCCTTGTCCTGTCCCTCCATCCCTTGTCTCAAGTCCCTCTCCAGCTCTCTTGGAGCCCCTTTAGGCACTGGAAGGGACTCTCAGGTCTCCCCGGAGCCTTCCCTTCTCCAGATGAACACCCCCAGCTCTCCCAGCCTGGTCTCCAGAGCAGAGGTTCTCCAGCCCTCGGAGCATCTCCGTGGCCTCCTCTGACCCTGCTCCAACAGGTCTTTATTGTGGAGGGACAAGTGTGGGGGCAGGCACGGCCTTTAGCCTGTACCCCTTGGTCTGATGCAGGAGGAAAGCCCCCAGCTCACCTGTGCCACCTATATATTATATATATTTATATCCACATGTGTGTTTCTACCAGACACGAGGCTGAGCTTTCCATCTTTCACACCAGAGCTGTTCCGTTGTGTACATCCTGGTCGGGATTATCACAGCTGCCGTGGCAAAACCGAGCAGAGCTCCGGAGGCTGGGATGCTCCCAGAGAGGCTCTGAGGTGCAAGAGGAAGATGCAGGACTGCTCTGGATTGCAGCCTTGCAGCCACACCACGTAATCCTTCTCATGGGCTGATCAGGCACCCAGGGCATTTAGCTCTGTGGGCAGCCAGTGCAATGAGAGTCACACCAGAATTACCTCAGACCTGTTGGGACTTGCCTCCTTGGGCTCCCAAAGCCAAAAAAGCTTCTGTGAAACTGCTTCTGTGAAGTGGAAAGTATTCTGTAGCTGCCCTCCCCTCTTTGGAGGCCGAAATTCTGAGCAAAACTCACCTATGGTCTCTCAGGAAACCCAGAGGTGGGGATATGGGGTAGAGAAATGCTGGAATTCGCAGTAGCAGTCCCTGCACGTAAAATCATTAAGGCCTTAAAGGAGGTGTGATTTTCTAGGCGTAAAAACTACCACGTTCTCAGTGCAGGAAATACGTCTGCAGAAGTTAGGTTAGAAAAAAGAAAATCAAATGGATGCCAGATGTACGAGTCTTTTTGGTGTTCAGGATGGTTATTTAAGAACAGTTTCTGTGTTTTTGGCAGCCACACAGCCCACGCTGGTCCAATATAGTCTAATGACAATGTAGCTGGGCATTGATCCTCAGTTTAAAATGGAGTCTGGGTTTTAACCCCAAATTGGGATTTGTTTATGGGCTTGTTTGAAACTGTGTGTGTCAGGAGCAGGCTCCAAAATGTAACCTGCCCTGCTCCCCAGAGACAGGGGAGCTCAGGGCTGCTCTTAAAGAGGTTCCCATTTAATTTCCCTTTGTACTCTGAAAGCTTTCTACATCCTGTATGTTCTCTCCAACATAAATACCTAAGTTTTCCTGAACCCCCAACAAACAAGAAACTATTTACCCTTTAGGGAGCTGTATTTCCTCAAGTGATTTTTAACAAAACAATTACCTCTCCCCTCATAAATCAGCTTCCTGTGCTCCTGATACGGAGCTGTTTGCGTCCTTTTTCTTTTCCCTTCCTCAGCTGAAGGTTCAGACGCTGCTTTTTACTCTATTGATTTGCTGCTCCTGACAAGCCATCGGGTGACAGCACAGGAAAAAGGACATTTCATTTTCCAGTTGCAGATGGTGCATTAAGACTTGGCCTCCTACAACATCTCACAGATCCAAGGGCTGGAATTTAATGTAAAAGCTCCCATATTTTGTCCTTGCTGGGTTAAGTTTCATTTTCCACCTGGAGGTGTTGCTTCTCATCCCATATTGCCAGAGGTGAAGAGTGGGTTCTCGGAGCCCATCTCGTGTTCTGAGCTCCAGTCCACCTTTCCCAGCTGAGTTTCAGTCCCTGCTGGAAGCACTTCTGGGAAGTGTACGTGGATAAAACCAGCCCTGGGACTGTATTACTGCTGCAATTTCTTGATTAGAAAAAAAACGAGGAAAATGGAGAAAATGTCCCCAAGTTGCACTAAGGGAGGTTTAGGTTGGATATTAGGGAAAATTTCTTGATGGAAAGGGTGGTCAGACATTGGAACAGGCTGCCCACGGCAGTGTTGGGATCGCCATTCCTGAAGGGATCTAAAAACCGTGTGGATGTGGCACTTGGGGACATGGGCTAGTGGTGGCCTTGGCAGTGCTGGGTTAAGGGTTGGCCTCGATCTTAGAGGGCTTTTCCAGCCTAATGATTTAATTAATGATTGTGATGAGTTGTGCAAGGCTCACAGGGCAAGACGTGGCCGGACTCTGCGCACGCTGCCAGGCGTGTTCTCCTGAACAAACACCGATTCCCGCTCCATATTTTCCGCCCTAGACCACGTCGCTTTTCTGGTCAAGCGTGTTTCGGAATGTGCTTTTATGCAGCATCTTTCTGTCTGAATGGGTCCCAGCCTTAAAAGGAATGTTAAGTGGTTTTACATAAGGCATTACGTAGGATTAGAGAATGTGAGCTGTTTGTATTGTAGTCTTAGGAGGAAGAACAGCCAAGGTTATTTTAACGAGACACTGACCGAGATTCATCTCGGTAATGGGAGATGCAGGAATTTCTAACTGAACAATGTTCATGAAGGTGGTTTTAAAAGCAGCCAAATGTGGATGTACGTTCATTGGCAAATGAGAAACGCTGAGGTATGAAAGGGCAGCATGAAGAAAAGATACTTCAGCCCCTAGTTTTTGTAAATATCTTTAATTTCACGTGGTCTAACAATCTCAGGCGGAAGGTATTCAAAAACTGCTGCACCATCTTCCCTATGATTTGAGATGTATTTTTTCCCTAAGTCTGTGGTTTGGGTTTTTCAGGCTGGTTTTCCTCCCCAGTGGAACACACAGTGTTGCTACACCCTGTCTTGCCACGAGTGAAGGGCTCGCCCCGGAGCCATTCCCAAATCTCTGCAGGCACCTTTCCACCCCTGAGTCCAGTTCTTCTTGGCATCACTTGGGCAGCTTTCAGTGCTGTTAATGCTGCTTTACCTGCCTGCTGAGCTCTGCTACTGGGATCCAGAATAAGAGGGATAGAGAAGGCTTTGGGGGGTCCCAAATGGCCTCTCGCTGCTGGAATGGCCCTGTGGGGACAGTTGGGGTGGCAGCTGCTGTGGGTACAAGATGACAAGTACCAAAATGCCTGGAAAAATCTAAAGAGCAGAAAGAGGGAGAGGTCTTGGCAAGATGGATGGAGAGAACACAGCCAAGGGAACAGCTTCAGGCAGGAGAAGGAGGCCTGTTAGACACTTCTTATGTCCAGCTTGGGAATTCACCTGGGAAAGTCCAACATAGACTGAGGATCTCTCCAGTGGTTGTACTGAGATGCTCTGGGAAGAGAGAAGCCTTTTCAGGGTGTCAGGAGCCTTGTCTCCCTTGCAGGAGCAGGAGAATTAAGTGAGGCACAGCTCAGAGCCTTGTGCACGGATTTGTTTTTCACGGAAGGAAGAGGAGCGCTGTGGCTATACATTATTTTTGTGTCACCCTGTTTACGTAGATGTATCTCAGGGGACTTTGCAGCTGATTGTGCTGTTTGCATTCAAAGGAAGGAAACCAGCTGGATGCCCTTCCCTCCCATGTGCACGTGCAGGAGGGCAGAGGTGAAGCCCGGCAGCTCCACCAACAGCAACAGCTCAGCACGAGGATGCAGGAAAATGTGGCCATTCCACTAAAAACAGCACCAACAAGGGGCATTCAGAGCACTGCCTGGAAACCAGGCTGCTTCCCACGTTTCCAGGTGCACAAACCTGGCTGAAACATATTGCAAATATCTTGCTGAATCATCCAGGCAGGTGGATTCGGTTGGCCCCGCCAAGGGGAGCTGGAAGCCTTTTCCTGGCTGAGGTGTATCTTGAAGGGGAAATCCTAGAAACAAACTTGGCACACCCAGGGTTTGGCTTGGACTCACTAAAGCCACGTTGCAAAAAAGAAAAGAGGCTGGTGAGGAAGGATGTTTTCAATGTAATGTCCATCTGCCTGTCGGTGCAGGAAAGAACAAATGGAAAACAGCGTCGGAAATAGATGGGAAGTTGGGTTTAGGAGACATCTTACTGACCTCTGAAATGAAAATCATGAGTTGGAAGGGACCCATAAGGATCATCCAGTCCAAATCCTGGCCCTGCCCAGGACACCCCAACAATTCCACCCTGTCCCTGAGAGCGTTGTCCAAACCCTCCTGGAGCTCTGGTAGCCTTGGGGCCATGACCACTGCCCTGGGGAGCCTGGTCAGTGCCCCACCACCCTCTGGGGGAAGAACCTTTTCCTAATAAAGATAAATCACAGGACCACTGATTGTGCAAAGGCAGCCCCTGATGTAAAACCAGGCCTGTGGGCTTGGTTTGGTTGAAGTTTTGTGCTGATGGCTCTATATCTCCATGTTTGTTTTTTTTTTATTCTTAAGTAGCTCCTTCAGTTTCCAGAGCATCTTCCAGAAGGCAGGCCCTTCCCAGTGACTGATTAAGCAAGTAATTTAATTAACTGCTGGAATTCTGTCTCCTCCACAGTGAAATACCTCTGTTGCAGCCCTAGTGTGCAATCCTGTTTACAGAAGCAGCAAGGATAATTCCTTTGGCTGCAAAGCCCCTGTAAATGTAGGCGGCCATAGCACAACTTGGGGTGAGAAATGGGAACAGCAGGAATAGCA